TTTATTTAAGACAATTGGCCATCCTGTCTGCTCTGCATCACTGACTTCTAATGGATGCTGTGCACCCCCATGGGGAGGATTCCATTAGGCAGAAAACCTGACCTGCAGTTTCTGGGGGCCTGAAGCCTGGACCTGGGCCAGGGCTCCCCTGATTAGCCATCATGGGCTCCCACTGCCTGTGACCTTGATCCCCCTCAGAATCCTCAAAAGGGACCAAATCTAGCCCTCACTTTGACCTTGGGGAGGGGGGACTGGTCGAGGCCACACAGTGAATGAGTGGCCAGCTCCTGCTGTCAGTCCCCTGCACTGTCTTACAGCCAGACACTTGCTCCCGAAACGCAGATGGTAAAAACATAGAGCCCCATGGTGAATCCCCGAACGGCTCCCAAAGGCAAGCACAATTTCCTAAAGACTACTGTGGTATAAATAATTCCTAAATGAAAGTCACAGCACATATTGGTCATTTTAATAGATAGTAAGTTGCCTTTCTGATTTACGGTTTCAGGGGTGGGGCCATGATAAAAAATAACTTGGTGATTTATAAAACATCTTAAGTCAACAGATCCCTAGTAGGTTTGTCTGACTTTACAGCCAACAGCCTCACCATCCTGGTTACCATAGAAATGGGATGCCTTGCTCTGTTGCTATGGCTACCACTTTCTAGAACACAATTGGTGGGACTCACGGTTTGTGATTTAGTTCTGGAAAAATAAAATAAAACAAAGAGAGCCAGAAACTAGCAGCTTGTGTCTGTGTAGCATCACCAAGCCATGGCAGCTCCGTGTCCTCAGTTTTACCAGGCAGCCGCTGTGCTGGCCAGGCCGGGGACAGCTACCTCTGGGCCGCCTGACTGCTCTTCGTCCTCGGGTCACGGTCCCAGGAGGGCTCAGCTGACCTGGTCCTGGATATGGTGGGGGCTCAGCTGCTCCGGGGAAGGGCTGGAAAGAGGAGCAAGTGGGAATGGCAGTCTGAGGGCGGCGGGGAAGGCTGAGGGGGCAGAGAGGCAAGGAGCTGGAGCTGCCAGAGCTGTGGGAAAGTCAGTCGCCCCCTAGTGGGGACACGGGGGGCAAAGGGCTGGGTGGAAAGCCCAGCGAGAGGGCGGGCGGGCGCAGAGGCAGAGTGACTGAAGTGACTGGGAGAGAGGTGGGGAGGGGCGTCGTCGTATGCTACACAGTTTTCATTGCTACTCTCTCCACACGCTGCTTGCTCTGAGTGTGTACCCATGAGTTGTTGGTGCGCATACTACCAGAGTGTGGCTGGTGGGGTGAGGTGACGGACGGGTCTCGTTAAGATTTCTATGGGCTGCTCATGTCCTCTGTGTGGTCCAGGCACTGAGCTGGATTCTCGACGTGTCTGAGCTTAGGACATCGGTTAGGTGTGTACTCTGGGTTATCGAGTCTGTAGTCTGTGGGTGACTGTTGGTACACAATTCATGGAGGGCACGGACCCCAATGCTTGCCCTGTGGGTGACAACCCTAGCATTGCTCTAGAACTTGCTGTCCTGGGCCTATCAGGCAGAGCTTGCCTCCCCATCTAGGGTCAGTGATCATCATGTCCTCCCCCACTTCCCCTTAGCTGTGCTCTCTGAATACTGTGAGGTCTTGCCTGCCAGGGGCTCAGCAAGGCTGCAGGCTAGGTAGGATGCAGGCTGGACCACCCAAAGATTACTCACTGGCCCATCCTTAAAGGGTGCTTCTGCACCAGAGCTCCTGAGTCTGGGCACCAAGGCCTAGGATCCATTCAGGTGTGGCCACGATCATGTCGAGTTGGTTCTAGTCACCTCTGCCCTTCCTCAGTTACAGGGGACATCACAACATGGAACCATCCAGGTCTAATCCAAGGCTGGCTTCTCAACGAGCAAAATCAGGCAGTGTGGCGGTGAGAGAAAAAAGAAAAAAAAAAAAAAAGGAAGAGTCAAGTGTGGTGGCATGTGTTTGCAATCCCAGAGTTGAGGAGCAGAGACAGGTGGATTCCTAGAGCTTACTGGCCGAAGTGTAGCTGAATCTGTGAACTCCAGACCAAGTGAGAGATCTTGTCTCGAAAAACAAGGGAATTAACTAAGGAAGACACCAGAAATTAACACACACACACACACACACACACACACACACACACACACACACACACACACGTTCTTTCCTTTTGCTTTCTTTTTAATGATTTATTTGTATTTTATGTGTACAAGTGTTTGTCTGCATGTATGTATGTGCACACTTGGACACACACACACACGCATGCTCTTTCCTTTTGCTTTCTTTTTAATGATTCATTTGTATTTTATGTGTACGAGTGTTTGTCTATATGTATGGATGGCACACTTGGACACACACACACACACATACACACACACGCTTTCCTTTTGTTTTCTTTTTAATGATTTGTGTTTTATGTGTACGAGTGTTTGTCTGCATGTGTGGATGGCACACTTGGTGCATGTGGAGACCAGAGAAGGGGCACTGGATTGCCCAGAACTGAGGTTGGTTGCAGAAACTACCATGTAGGTTCTGGGAGCTGAGCCTAGGCCCTTGAGAGAGCAGCAGAGCCATCTTACCTGCCAAGCTATCTCTGCATGCCCAACTCTGTTTTTTAACATGGGTTCTGGTGACCGAACACCGGGATTCATATCCGCATGGCGAGCTCCGTACCAACTGAGCTGCTATCTCCTCAGCCTCCGTATGCTAGTCTTACTAAGATCAGGCCTTTTCCTGGACCTCCATGTCTGTCTGAAGATTAGTATGGTGAGGGACAGATGAGAGGAGAGCTCGGAGGGCTTGTGGGACTCTTGGGAGATCAATGCCCTGTCTGGGCTACTCCCATGAGCCTTTGCAAACACTAACGAGCCATCACTGGAGACAGACTCATGGCCTCCCTGGGTGGTTGTAGAGATTCCTTGAGGAGCGCCTTGGCAGGCTGCCTCCTGAGTACCACAGTTGCCAGTGGGAGCCTCACCCCAGGGGAGGGGCTATTAATGGGGCACTGAGGATGCATGGGATTTTTCCACACAGTGTGCATGGCCAGAAGCCTCTCTGGAAGAAGGACCCTCAGGTGCAAAGCCACTGGAGGAGGCACTCTGCTCAGAGTGGCGGAGAGGTACATGTGACAAGAACGTTGGGTACATGTCGGGTGAGGACCCTGAGGAATCAAGTGCAGCCAGAGCACAGTGATCCTGGTGTGGCAGGCTGAGCACGCTGGCCTTTTCAATGTGGGCAATGTGGTAGCTGGCATGAGTCGCTCTGGGACCAGTAGCCATGTGACTGAAACTGAAGCCTAGCTTTGAGAGCAGTGGTCCTGTTGAGAGAGAATACAGAAGGAAAGGCCGTGTCAGGGGGTCACTGCAGGGGAAGGGTATAGCCTGTCTCTGGGGAGTCTAGGCTATGAAGGCCAAGCTCCAAGAAGAGGCCCAGAGAGAGTCCAGGTCCAAATACACAGCAGATGAGGATGCATGGTGACTTGGAAGGGCTGCAGTTCTGGGCGAGTTGGGGTCGAAGGTTAATGACTCTTCTTTTTGCCTCCACTTTGCTTTCCTGGTTTGTCCTCCATGCATCCCAGGTCTGGAAGAGCTGGATCCCGAAAGAAGAGCTTCCTGGAGTCAGAAGACCTCCTCTCTAGCCTGCTTCCCTCAGCTTTTCCCAACCCCGCAGGCGTCATAGGGTGCAGGGACTCAGTTTCAACCCACTGCTTCGCACTGTCTTTGTGTGTGTCCTCCTCCTTAGCTGAACAGGGAGCTCCCTGAGAGCTGGGCTGGTGCCTGGGGGAGAGTGGTGGGAAGAAAGGATGGCTGGGTGAACCAAAGACTGGTGAGCGGTGTATGGGCAGGGAAAAGGAAGGAGGGAGGGAGGACAAAATGAGGAAGGAAGGGAGCAATTTGAAAATAGAAGAAAGGGATGGAGAGGATAAAGGAAGGAAGAATGAGTGGACAGATGGATGAGTGTATGAACGGAAGAGAGGAAGGATAAATGGGCAGGAGGGAGGGAGGGAGGGAGGGAGGGAGGGAGGGAGGGAGGAAGATGGGTGGATGGAAAGGAGGCACAGGTTCATGGAAGGATGAAAATGGATTGCATTTGACAGTAGCCTATGAGAACAGGTTCTGAAAATTGCATTGCTATTAAGCTAACAGGATGCCAGTGTACTGTAACAAGCAGCTTACACAGATCTCTTCCTGTTTGTGGGCTTAGGTAGCATTCGGCATCATCTCCTAAGACTGAGTTCATTCTGTAACAGTGCCCTTCCTACTCCCCGCCCCGCCCCCCGCCCCTGAAGCCCAGGACGTGGTTTCGAAGATCCATTTAGTTCTTGGTGCCCAGATTTTTGGCAGGTTGGGCTCCAGGCCCCATGGCTTTGATTAGCCCAACCTAGCAGCTCTGGGCCTCCCAGAGCACATGGAATGGGGGAGGACCGCCAGTTTCAACCCAACTAAGGCTAAGGCGCTTGACTTCCTGCTGCTTATGGGAGGGGGTGTCTTTAAGTAAATGAACTGGAGTCAAAGGAAATAGACACAGCCTCTGCAGGGCCTGGCTCCGGTAGAGCAGTCCCCTTCTATTTCTCTGCACACTTTGGTCCAGCGTCACAGTCAGTGTAGCTAAGTACCGTCACAGACGCCTCAGATTTCAGTGGCTTCACCCAGCACAAGCTTTTTTTTTTTCATTTTGTTTTTATTTCTCATCAGAATATTAAGTGACAGCCCAGCTCAATGTAGCCAGGCTCCTTCTCTCTCACGGCTCTGCTGGACCCTGGAGCATCAGTGTTTGGCTAGCATTGGGAAAGGAGGCGTAGGTGAACAGGGATGCAGGCTTTGTTGGCCAGACTCAGCAGCATCGCTTCCTCCCCCTAGACTCCGAGGAAGATGATGTGGTGTGTCAGCTTGGGTTGTGTTGGAAGGGCTCTGGGCACGGCCTGCTCCTAATGGGGCCCCGTGCCTGGACCCCAAGGCAAGGCACTCCAGGTTTCTCCACTCTGAGTGAGACGCCTTTACTCTGACACCCTGTGTTTTTCGCCCACAGTATGTGGCCTTTGCCTCCCTCTTCTTCATCCTGGTCTCCATCACAACCTTCTGTCTGGAGACCCATGAGCGCTTCAACCCCATTGTGAACAAGACGGAGATCGAAAATGTTCAAAACGGCACACAAGTGCGATACTATCGGGAGGCGGAGACGGAGGCCTTCCTCACCTACATCGAGGGCGTCTGCGTGGTCTGGTTCACCTTCGAGTTCCTCATGCGCGTCATCTTCTGCCCCAACAAGGTGGAGTTCATCAAGAACTCGCTCAATATCATTGACTTTGTGGCCATCCTCCCCTTCTACCTGGAGGTGGGCCTCAGCGGCCTGTCCTCTAAAGCCGCCAAGGACGTGCTGGGCTTCTTGCGCGTCGTCCGCTTCGTGCGCATCCTGCGCATCTTCAAGTTGACCCGCCACTTTGTGGGCCTGCGGGTCCTGGGCCACACGCTCCGCGCCAGCACCAACGAGTTCCTGCTGCTCATCATCTTCCTGGCCCTGGGTGTGCTCATCTTTGCCACCATGATCTACTACGCTGAGAGGATAGGGGCGCAGCCCAATGACCCCAGCGCCAGCGAGCACACACACTTTAAAAATATTCCCATTGGCTTCTGGTGGGCTGTGGTCACCATGACGACACTGGGCTATGGAGACATGTATCCTCAGACGTGGTCTGGTATGTTGGTGGGAGCATTGTGTGCTCTGGCAGGAGTGCTGACCATTGCCATGCCGGTGCCCGTTATCGTGAACAATTTCGGGATGTACTACTCTTTAGCCATGGCTAAGCAGAAACTACCAAAGAAAAAAAAGAAGCATATTCCACGGCCACCACAGCTGGGATCTCCCAATTATTGTAAATCTGTCGTAAACTCTCCTCACCACAGTACTCAGAGTGACACATGTCCGCTGGCCCAGGAAGAAATTTTAGAAATTAACAGAGCAGGTAGGAAACCTCTTAGAGGCATGTCGATCTGACCTTTCACCTCTGCCCCCTGTAGCAATGATTCCAGATTCAGTCAGACTGCTTCCTTAGTTCCATGGGCGACCCAGGACCCTGTGCCCAATCTTGAGGTGTGGAGCCTGGGGCCCCAGGGAGATGCTTGGCGGCCAAATCCAGAAGTCAAGAGCTTGCTAGAGGAATCTTACTGGTGGCTCTGGGTAAGGAGGTTGATGTGGTTGGTCTCATGAGTTCTGAAGAGACCCCCACAGAAGTTTGCTGAGGACTCTCTTAGCAGGAGCCCAGAGGCTGCTGCTTGGTCGGAAGGAGTCAGGCGTAAGTCTCTGACGGGCTCCTGACCCGTGGTGGGCAGGGAGGGAGTGGTGTGATTCAGAGACACCACCCAGCCTTTGATTTGGTCTTTGACATGGGTGCCTTCAGGCTGTGTAGACCGGCAGAGTGGTACATGAGATCCGGACAGCTGAGTCTCCGCAAAGGCAGTAGCCGGGATTCTCAGCCCTCGCAGAACCTAGCTGAGTAGACTCCTGCTCTGATGCCAGCTACCTAGTTCCAGGTCTTTGCTAGGAGTTGCCCCTAGGCTTCCGTGACAAGCTTACTTACCCCATAGCATGCCAAACCAACTCATCCTCCACCACCACTCTAGAGTTTAGCATTTATCTTTAGGAATCTGTTGGAGTGACTCTGGCTTTCCCGTTGTCTGTTTGGGTTGATGGTCCAGTGGGAGTTTCTGGAGACCTTCTGATGGAAGTGGCTGATGAGCAAAGAACTGGAGAGGGGCCACACCCCGGGCAGCTTAGATGAAAGCATTATGGACCAGCAACACCCTCCCACCACTGAGAGCTGTCCCCATATCTAGCAGTAGGGACTGTAGCAGCAGCAATACAAGACATCCCAACCACTTACCCACAAATTCACTGGGAGACAGGGGGTGGGGGGTGGGCTGAAACAATACTAGTCACCGAGGGATATATTCTCATATTCCATGGCTAGTGGTTCATTATGGGACTATCTCAGTTTTATGAGAACCTGCACATAGCACATAAAGTTGACCATGGGGCTCTGGTCTGAAGATGAAAACCCATAGTCTACCTCTACCCATGGAATCCCATTGACTTACTCTGAGGACACAGGGATCTCCAAGGAACAGATGACCCAGAGAAGAATGATGACATGAGGAGGTACTGGGTGAGTGTGAGGTTGGTGTGTGCTGTTAGATTTCTCTAGTCTATGAAGAGCACCCCATGCCTGGGGCTGGCAGAGAGTGCCAAGCTAGTTCATTCAGCCTGGGGCGAGAGAGCCTCTCTTTCATGTGGGTGGCCTCCCTCAGTGGATGATGGATGTCCTTCGCTGCCGGTGTGCTCTCTGATTCACCTTCCCACCCCAGTCCTTTATCCTACAGGCTGGGGCAGCCCGGGCAATGTCCCAAGGCCTACTTCTTTGGCCATGGGACATTCCAGCCCTTTCACCCCATTCTATGCCCTCTCCTTCCCGAGGCTGCTGTGGGCACACAGCAGAATGTAGCTTGTGTTCTAGATTGGGGCAGGGAATGCAGGAGGTCTGAGGTAGAGACCTCCCTCTGGTCAAGCCTTGTCTCCATTTATGGGAAGCCCCAGGCCTCCCCTTTTGTTTCCAGGTGGCTAGCCATTTTACCCCAGGAGCCAAAACCAGGGCAAGGACAGTTTCCTCAGCTCTGGATGGCCTTCCTTCTCCCCCAGCACCACTGTGTACCCCAGGAAGTGCTCAGACGGAGGGGCATCACATGACCCTACTCAGCCCTTCTGACTCATCTTCCCCAACACTGTCAGTCAGGATTGGTGCTCTAAAAATGGAGCCCCAGGTCAGCCCATTGATGATCTGGAGCTCATTCTAGCCAGGCACAGATTCCTCTGCACACTCAGTGACATTATTGTACTGAGGACACACACACACACACACATACACACACACACACACACACACACACACACACACACACACACACACACACACTTCAGCTAGTCCTAGGGATATTAGCTCTTTCCTCATGTTGCAGCAGATCTACAGAGCCTGCGAATTCCTGTTTCCTTTGGGTTCCTCAGCCTTGCCCCTGAGAGACACCTTGCCCTGGCTCCAGATTTCAGGAACTCGAAGAGCTCTGGTTTGGGCAGTCTCATGACTTGCCCTGTGAGGTCAAGTTCCTCCTTTTCCCTCCTCCACACACGTTATTCCCTTTTCCTTGCCTTGCTGTTTTGGTGCTGTCCTGGTGTTCAGCCCTGCCCCTTAGCTCTAAGACTCCGGTCCCACCTCGAGCCCACCACACTGCTCACCGCAGCAAACATGGGTATGAGAACAGGGTTACCTGTTGCCGGGGGCACGTGAGGTTCCTAGGCTTGTCTTCAGCCATCCCTGTGCCCCAGGCTCGCTCTCATCCAACCCCCGTTCCTCATCCCTGTATACCTGGATGGGCATGGGGCAGAGGTGAGAAAGGGTGGGAGAAGCCAGAGCTCCAGGAGGCAGATGGGGTGGGTAGAGACCAGACCCGATGGCAATGTGGGAGATAAGACAAGTCCCCCAAGTTTCTTCAGCAGAGGCAGTTGAGCAGGTCCCTAACCAGTTTTTTCTAGTTCCGCATCTAACTCCTGGGCTAGGGACTGAGGCAGAATGCTGGACTTTGCACTGCAGCCAGCCCTCCAGCTCCTTCCCCTCACCTCCACTGTCTGTCTGTCCCAGGGATGTTGTGAGCTTTTTCTTTGGGCCATAGCTTGAATGGCCTCAGTATTTGTGGGCTCTTACCTGAGGGGCTGCCCAGGGTTCAGGTTTCACCTGGCCATGAGAGGCTCAGGGAGGGATTGTCTGGGATTGAGCCCCTTGGAGAAGCTGCCCTTTTCCTGGAGGGGGCCTCCTTCCCCATTTCCAGTGGGGTCAACTGCTTGCTCTGGGCAGCTCGGAATGTTCATTGTCTCCTCTGTCCTGCCATGTCCATTCTTGTGTGTCCTAGAGTCTCTGCTCCTGTGGTGTGGGTCAGTCCTTTGTGCCGTGGGGTCCAGGGTTACAGGGTCCCAGCATAAGGGATAAAGAGGGATGCAGGTGGCCAAGTTTGGCTCACTTCTTGCTTTTCAGTATGCAGAGCCCAAGTGATGTCTCAGAGACACCCTTCCCCGCCCAGAAGCTAACCACTGCACCCTCAGGGTGGTCTTTCAGGGGAGAGCTTCTTTTCTGAGCATTGGCATCTAAAGTCCCCCTTTTCTGGGCCCTCTAGCTGTCCTCTCTCGGGCTACTGCGGCTGCCTGGGAATAGTGTTAGACCTCAGGGTAGGGAGGGTGGCAGTATTGGGGCCAGAACTGATGGAGCAAGATAGGGGTTGAAAAGAATCCAGCTGCGGGGCTGGCAGCCTGGATTCGGAGTGTAGTCCACACTGCCCACGTGGGCAAAGGGAGATCTAAGGAGAAATGAGATGACTTTGAATGCCAGGCATGGGTGTTCTTTTCTGTGTTGTTCATATCCCCTCTCCCCTCTCTCCACTAATCATGTCTTTCTCTCTCTCTCTCTCTCCCTCTCTCTCTCTCTCTCTCTCTCTCTCTCTCTCTCTCTCTCTCTCTCTCTCTCTCGTTTTGTTGAATGAGTGTGGTGGTTCCCATGACCGTGTCTCCTCACAGCTTGTCCCCCTTTAGCCTGAGATGTTTCCCCCTGAGTCCCAGCTGAGCAGACCCCTCTGGGGGCAAACCCAAGGCAATGCCCAGCCCAACTAACCCTTGTCCAGTCCTGCGTGCGCCTGGCGGCGCCCGCTGCTGGTGTGAACAGTAAGTACATCGGAAGTGTCTGGAGATGGCAGGAAAGCGTGCCTGCTGACGGAGGGCACGTAGGTTCTCTTTGCTCCAAAGTTTTAAAAAAATGACCCTCTCACAAACGTTCATCTCAGCTCATTTCAAAGCCTGGAAACCACCTCTGAGACGCTGCCCATGCTGTCATTTCATCACCGCAGGCCTGTGGGGTTGTGGGGTCGTGGGGTCCTGGGCCCGGGGAGACAGGCCCAGGTCTCTGAAAGCAAGTGGGAACCTAGGTTGCTAGCTGCCCTTTCATCCCAGGAGAGACGAGTGGGTGGGTGGGGACTCGGTGATCTTGCATCTGTGGCCTTTCTCATGGTTCCTCAGGTTTAGACAATTGGGTTATTTTCTCTTCTGGCCACCCCACACTGGAGTTTGGGACAGGAAGTGAATGGCCCGGTGGCTGAGAGCACCTTCAACTGCAGATAAAACAACAGCCCCTCAGCCACAGATCCTTTTTGAGAGGTTGAGGCTGAAACAGAAGCAGGCTCCAGGGGCATCCTGGAAACTGCCTGCCATTTTGTTCCCCTGGATTCGGGATGGCTGCCCCTCCCCGCCCCCACCACCACCGAGGGACTGTCCCATTTTCAAACCTTTTACAGTTCAATGTGGGAGGCCAGGGGTAGGGGGCATGTAGGCAGAGACTCAGGCCCAGAGGGGGGGTCTCAGGCTGCACTGTCACTATGGAGGCAGAGGCAAAAAGGAGTAGTCACTACCTGACCCTTTCCTGGACAAGAAGAGCAGGCTGTGGACACCCACTCAAGAGCATCTTTGCCAACTGGAGAAGATGCGCTTGGAAGCCACTAACGCTCCCCTGGAGAAAAAGTCATTCAAGGCACATGGACCCCAGCTTCCAACCCCTCTTCCTCACCATACCACATCCCCTTCTCCCCAGCATTCTCCTTCCAGTTCACAGACCCTCCAGGAGGGAGACAAGAGCCAAATGGAATGTAAGGGAGGATATACATGTCTGCGGGCACACACACCTGTGCCCACAGACACATCCCATATGCTAGGCAGCCCCCAGCTTGTCACATGGTGCCAGAGTTTCCCTAGGAACTGGCCTTTCTGGTTCAGAGTCAATCAGGAGTGAAGGTCCTGGGATCTTCAAGGAATGCACTGTACGTGAAATGCCTTGCCATCTTGTACGACAGACTTTTTTAAGTTCCAAAATTATGATGGGAAACCTTTTTTTTTTTTTTGGATTTGCTTTATGAATAAACCTGATTGGTCCATTTCTCTTTTGACTGACTGCCTCTTTGTAGTGACATGATGTACACGGGTGGTGACCCCACTCACGTGCATGCAGGGAAGGCTCACTCCTGCGTGCAGTTACATGATGTGAACAGGATCATGGGAGAAGGTCAAATCCAGTGGGAATTTCCCCTAGCTTCCCTTCAGAGAGCCTCCTCTATCACATCCCCCAGGCTGGTTCCCTCCCTCACCAAGGGGCTCTCATAGGAGGCTTCCCCCATAGGTGCAGTATTTGAGTCCCCAAGAGGGACAGAGATGGGGGACAAAGTCAGTCATGGGAAGGCCTCCAAATCCTTCCTCTTGAAGTTAGCAGGGCCAGGGTGCCTGGCTGTGGCCACATTTTGCCCGCCACTATACATGTCCCCCCCTGAGATCTCCTCCCAGGTTCCTCCTTAGGCTACTACAGAAGCCAAGCCTCAAATTCCCCCCACCCAAGGCCATCAGCATCTGTTGTCTCCGCACATCCATTTGTTCTGCTTTCTGGGGATGCTGGCAGAAGGGACTGGCATGGGAGCCCCTCCCACATCCCTGTCCAGCCATCACAGCCTCATGCATATGCATTGATTTTTGTTGTGCAAGCTGACCAGGTTCCCTGGAGTGGTCTGTGGAGGCACTGTTGAATGTGTGTGGACAGCAGTGTAGGTCTGCATGGGGATAGATCAGATGAAGTGATCTAACTGGGTCTGTGCAGGTACACAGGAAATTAATCTGCATGAATGATGGGGTAGACCAATCAGAGTGGGTCCTTAGAATGGTGGTGATATGTGTAACCAGGCCTAGTCTGTGTGGGGAACAGGAAATTGAAGGGACCTGATTGGGTCTTTGTAGAGGCAGTATAGGTATGTCCAGCTCTTATCTGTATACAGGACAAAGTTTCAGAGAGACCTGATTATGTACCTGTGTGAACAGTGTAGAAGATGTGATCAGGCTCAGTCTGTGTAGAGGACAGTCTCAGAGGGACAGATTGGGTTCTTGTAAGGAGAGAACAGAGGTGTGGCCAGTCTAGTTTCTATGGGCCACAGCATGGTAAAATAGGGTTTGTGTGTGGGGAGGGCAGTGTAAGATATGTGTCCAGGCAAGTCTATAGAGGGGATGGGAGATCTGAGGGGCCAGACTCTGTCCCTATGCAGACAGGCTAGAAGGTGTGAGCAGGCCTAGTCGGTATGGGATAAAGTTTAGAGGCACCAGATTTGGTCCTTGTGGGGACAGAGAAGAAGGCCAGGGCATCTGAATGGTCAAGTTGGACCCAGATGGAGTGGTGGGAGCAAGCTGAGTGGTCAGACTTGGGGGTACATTGGGAACCAAATGCTGGAATGAGATCTGCATGGGGGGATGGAGGGGGTCAAACGGGGCCCAGCTGGGCCTAGGGCTGAATATTGCTGGGGGACAGCCAGGTGCTGGTTAGAAGTAGAGGGTCTGAAAGGCTACTTTTCTGGACTGGGGCCTTTCTGAGTGTCTGTCTGTCTTCTCCCTGAGCCGTGTGTCTGGCCCTCTCCCCATGATTACATCATATCATCCTGTCTCATTAACCCTGCCTTGGGCCCTGGGCCTGGCCCCAGCACCACACGCCAGCCTCATCACCGATTCATCTTTTTGCAAACTTTGAGCAAACCTAGGAGTCTCTCCCTCCCTGTGCTGTCAGCAGCCCACCCCAGCCTCCGCCCTCCTCCATGGACCACCCACTCTTCCATCCTCAGGAACGGGAAGTCCTTTGTCAAATGCCCTACCTTCGGCCTCTCACCCCTTCTCACTAAACAGTTTTCGGTGTCTCAATAGCTTCTGCTTATATGTTTGAAGATTCCAAACTGAATGGGGAGGTGGCGAAGGCCGCGCTGGCGAACGAAGACTGCCCCCACATAGACCAGGCCCTCACTCCCGATGAGGGCCTGCCCTTTACCCGCTCGGGCACCCGCGAGAGATACGGACCCTGCTTCCTCTTATCAACCGGGGAGTACGCGTGCCCACCTGGTGGAGGAATGAGAAAGGGTATGTAGAGGAAGCTGAGCTCTCTGCATCGGCCGGGCCCGCCTTGCACTCCTGCAGATGGGTGGGCAGGGCGGTGGGCAAGGGGCGCTGAGGGGTAGGCAGGCACACTGAGGGGCAAGGATGGAGGGAGCCCCCCAACGTTGGCCTCTAGAGGTCAGAGTCCTTTCCCCAAGGGGGATGCCAGGTTGGCAGTGAGAAGCTGAGGCCCAGGCAGCTGTAGGTTGGTATTCAGATAAATGGTAGAAAGGGGCTTGGCACAGGGTGGATGACCATGGGTTGTAAAACCAAGCCAAGGATGTCCCTAAGGAGACAGGGGGAGTCTAAGTTCCCCCAGAGTTCTCTAGTGGGGTAGAGCGTGTCCAAAAGGCAAAGTGTTCTTTCCTAACCTTTAGTTGTGGAGGGCAGTTGGCTTGGCCACCACCCTGTGAGTTTAGTCTAAGGTTGTGCTATGGAAGAAGTATCCTTTAAGAGAGTCTGCAGGCCAGTGGAAAGGGAGGCCTCAGGGAGAGGTGGCTTTAGAGCTGGGAGATAAGGCCACTGTCCTTGTAGAGGTAAGCTGTGTGCTACTCAGAATACTGAGAGTGATAACTTGCTAAGACAAAGTGTATCAATGGGACTTTGTATAGCCCTTTCCATAGCCAGAGCACATTAGCACTGCCCAGGGGTGGCCAGTGCCCCCTTGTGACTGGTGAAGGACCAGTGGTATTCTTGCAGTCAGGATTTGGAGAGGTTTAGCATGGACTGAGGTGAGGCCTGGGGAGGAGCTTCGAACAGTCCACATAGGGCTGCAGGCACTGGCCGGGGCTGGGCAGCCCATGCATGCATCTGTGCACCTCACAAGTTCACACAGACGCATGCCGACAGCGAGCAGGGTAGCCAGACACGAGTCAGAATCTTGAGGATAATGGAGTGTAGTCTGTGGCCCCTGTCAACAGCACTAGTGTTGGAAATGGTTAAACCAGACACAAGGAGAAAACAGACTTCCAGAATCAAAGGCAGACCTAGGAGAGGAGAGAGACAGCCTTCACCAAGAGGAGGGAAAGTCTTTTGGGTTGCGCACGACTGCTTAGTTACGCCCATCGGATTCAGGCTGGTCTCTGCTTGTTTGCCCTGCCTGAGATCCCCTGGACCTCAGTGCGGTGTGCCGCTCCCTGCATGGTGCTGCATGGCAGAGGGCCACCAGCCTTGAGGAGGACCCCATCCTTGACATGGATGGGTCTGCTGCTCTCTTTGCAACTGGCTTTTTCCCAGGTAAAGCCTTTAGAATGCCCAGGAGCAGGGACCACCCTGAAGAATAAGGGGAAAACTATCTCCACGGCTGTGCCCTGCCCAGTAAGGTCCCACAGGGCTGCCTGGCTCCTTTGTCTTGGATGCTGGATCAGTCGGTGTGGCCTAAGAGAACGGAGTGTCTCTACTGTGCTTCCAGAAGCACCCCACTTCCTAGTAGTGCTAGGGAGTTGAGTGCAACCCCCATCCACAGGCAACCCCCAGTCTCAGAGCCCACCTGGGCTTGGGTGCTGGACTCTTTGGGAGGCACCAAGGGTGAAGGCCCCCCGCACACGTGTCCACCCAGCCTGGCTCTCACGAGGACTTGCTTTGCTCTGGCTGATTCGGAGCCCTTTAGGTCTGCAGGTGCAGAGCAGAAGTAGGGACTTCACCTGTCCCCCCAAGGAGGGAAGAGAAAGAGGCTGCTAGGCTGGTCTGCTGCATGGGAAACAAGCCAGCTGGAGAAGAACCTGCCTGCCTCTGCATGCGGCTGTTGAGTCTCTCCTCCTCCTTCCTTAACAACTAAGTACCGAGCGGGGAGGGGAAGGCACAAGAGGAGCTCAAGTGTTAATTGTATTCTCTACATACAGATCTTTGCAAAGAAAGCCCTGTCATTGCTAAGTATATGCCGACAGAGGCTGTGAGAGTGACTTGACCAGGCGGCTTGGCCGAGGACACTGGTGGCTATTAAGCATCTGGGTGGACCTGCAGCCCCTCCTCACCCTCGGACAGAGTAAATTCACGCCATGCAGGTTTGCCGGACGAGTCCGAGTGGCCCAGGCATTGTCCTAAGACGGACGTAGCTTTTTCTACGGCCAATGGTAACTGACCGTAGAGGATCGCCCTTCTTTCTTTTCATTTTTTTTTTTTTAGAAGTTACCTTTTATTTGGGGAGGGGGGGGTGAAGGGGAGCCTTAGCATGACTTGCATGAAGTTAAACAGAAAACCCAGCTAAACCAAACCCAGCAGCCTCCGCTGTGACTGTATGACTACTCTCACCACAACCAAGAACGGCGAGAAAAGCAAGGGCTCAACTTTCTTTCAGTGCTCTTTATTTTGACACACGGTGTCGGAGCCAAGCTGTGATGGCACTCGGTAGAAGTCTGTACATTGCTGGGAGCGGGGGGCCAGGGAAGAAGGATGGGGCTGGGGAACGGACTGCTTTTTGTACACAAGACCCAGAGGAAAGGTTTCAAAAAGGCAGTCAGTCAGTCATCGGTCATATTGACCTCACCTTCGTAGCTCATCTCTCACGTGGAACACAGAGAACTTTGCTCCGAATGGGATTGTGGGAACTCACACAGCCGCCCTCTTCCATCTCTGTTTGGCATGCTTCTGACCCAGCGGACGTCTCCCCAAGACCCCGACAGCGGCTAGTTTAGGTTGATCTCTCATCCCAGTGTGTAGATCCAGTGTGACCAAATCTCACAACGAATTGTTCATAGTTACACCATATGGATTTTCTAATGTCATTTTAAAGCCAGGATGTAGAGTACCTCCAGTTCAGGACCACCAGAGGGGTGCCTCCCCTCCACCTTTATTAAGGCACAACCTGGCATTGTATGCAATTTAGTACTTCAGAGTAAGAAACAAAAACAAAAAACTGCATGCCCAATGTTATGCAAAGAGATTCGAGCATGAAATAAATTTTGTAACATGGTTTCTGTCTAGTCTAAAGCAGATTTGTTTTTCTGAAGCAATCAGAGGTTTGCAGAGACGTGCTTCTGCATCTCGAATAAATATAGTATTTTCCCAACAGAAACAGAGGACAGTAGCTTGGCTTTGGTCTGATTCTAAAATTAGTGTGTGTGGGGGGAAGGATGATATTTTTGAAAAACACATGCTTGAGTTGAAAAAAAAATGCAACATCCCGAGCTTCCACTGCACCATTTCCTGGAAAGACAGCAACCTCCCCTCCCCGGGCCCTGGCCCTGGAAATAAAAAGCTGACTTCTGAGATGAAGCACTAAGGAGTTGAGTTTTTATTGCCTTCAGGCAGCATCTCCGCTCCGTTCTGGCACGGCCGAGCTGATCCTAGGCCCGACTACTACTGTAGTCATCTAAGCTGAGGTGTGGCTGGGCTCCGAGGATGCTGGCCCCTGTGGGCTAGGGCTGCAGATCCTGTTGGGCCAAGGGACGAAAGCACATCCTCTGTGGGGTTCACCTGGTATGGTTCAGGGACTCATCTTGGGGGATCCTTGCATGGAGCCATGTTGGAACCTCTAGTTGCCCTGTGCAGCCATGGCCTGCTAGGACTATTGTCGGGTCTGAGTGTCAGGTCTGCATGCCCTGGCCAACTTGCAGGGCCTGGTCTAGAGACGACCTCATCGAGTATGCCTCTCTCAGCCTGGACCTGGGGATATTGCAGGTTTGGGTGTGGGGTAAAATGGAAGATCTGATCCTTCCTCGTCGTTAGTGATTCCAGAATGTTCACGTGGAAAGAGACTCCACAGGCCATGCAGTCAGCCCCTGAGCATCTGAAGATGAGGCATCAAGCTGCTCAGGGCCACCAGCACGAAGATGTCAGCCCCCTAAAGTTTCAGTCCCTTTTGTCACCTCTCAGCACAGCCCGAGTCTGTGACCCTATGGGCGGGTGGGACCAAGTTTTACCTACTAGTTTCTTACCTCTCCCAGGACTTGTCTCAACTTCCTGGTACCCAGTGAAATTCAAGAACTCAGGGGCCATGGTTGGTGGAGCCTCTACCCAGGCATTTCATAGCTAAGTCTCAGGACACAGCAGTGAAGCAGCCTGGGCTACTGCCTGAGACCAGTGTTGACATGAGCCAGGTATCTGCTAGGAAGATGGGGCTTCGCTGAATAACACAAAGTCATCTGGAATATAGGCCTAAGAACACCGCAGCCAGAGAGGATCTACTGTGGAGGGGGCATCTCATAAACACTGCCTAATGTCAGCTCAGAACAGTCCAGTCACCCCATATTACAGCCGAGACAACGAAACACAGAGAGGGAGAGAAACTGGTCCAAAGCCACACGACCCAATGAAGGTGAAGTCCCGATCATAACCTGGGTGGTCTGACTCCAGAGTTCAGGTCGGGCTGTTTGAACTAAGGACTTTCCGGGTCTGGTCCTTGATGGTGAAACACTGAAGTTATGGGTTCTAAATCCAGGATTCCTAGGATTTGGCCTCCTGGCCTCCTTCACGGAGCGCCATAGGTGTGACATAGGGGCCACTTCATGTTCTCTTCCAGATCTCTCCTGATCCACAGCTGGCTAACCCCTCTTGCTGAAACATCCTCCTGCCTACGGGTGAAGCTTCACTCCCCCAGCTGGTTTCCTGGAAGGCCAGTCTCCCTGCCTGCCCTCTACTCTGCCCCACCTCTGCTCCAGTGAGGCCGCCCTGAACTTGCAGCAGCCATACTTAGCTTGCTCACTCACGCTACCTGCAGCCCTGCCCCACTAACTCCCATAGCTAACTGACCACCACGTCACTTCATCCAGAGTAGATGATGTCTGGGGCAGAGTGAAAGGGACTTATTCTGAGTGAGTCACAGGCCTGGATTCACTGTTCCTAAGCACCATGCCACCCACCTTAGTTAGGGTTTTTATTGCTTTGATGGAACACCATGACCAAAAGCAAGTTGAGGAGGAAAGAGTTTAATTCAGCTTACATTTCCACATCATAGTCCATCACTGGAGGAAGTCAGGACAGGAACTCAAGCAAGGCAGGAACCTGGAGGCAGGAGCTGATGCAGAGGCCACAGACGGGTGCTGTTTACTGGCTTGCTCCACATGGCTTGCTCAATCTGCCTTTTTAAAAAGATTTATTTATTATGTATACAGTGTTCTATCTGCATGCATGCCTGCATGCCAGAAGAAGGCATCAGATCTCATTATAGATGGTTGTGAACCACCATATGGTTGCTGGGAAATTGAACTCAGGGTCTCTGGAAGAGAGGCAGTGCTCTTAACCCCTGAGCCATCTCTCCAGCCCCGACCTGCTTTCTTATAGAACCCAGGACCACCAGCCCAGAGATGATACCACCCACAATGGGCTGAGCCTCCCCCCATCAATCAGTAATTAAGAAAATGCCCTTAATTTAAGTCTTGCCTACAGCCCGACATTGTGAGGGCTTTTTTTTTCTTTCAGTTGCGGTTCCCTCCTCTCAGGTGATTCTAGCCTGTGTCAAGTTGACATAAGACTAGCCAGCGCACCATCCAAAGTTATTACAGTGGACCTCACAGGCATGTGAGGACCCAGCATGGCCAGGGTGGTGGATGTGTCACGGGAAGATGGGTGTCTGTGACCAGAGGGAAGAGTGGGTGTGGGGACATGGATGGCAGCAGCTGCTGCATGCTGGGTCCTCAACACTTACTCCAGGGCCTGGCCAGAGACCTGTAAGCACACAATGGGGTCATTCTTCCTTCTCCTTCCTGTGACCCTAATGAGCCTAACAAGGCAGGTGAAGTGAAACTATCTACTGGCCATGAGACCTGGAGACTGGTTCTCAAAAAACTGTAAACAGAATAAAGTGGAGAGCGGATAAGAACGGGATCTCAGAGCTTGCTCAGTTAACCTCCCAACTCCATGGTGACCCATGGGGACACTGAGAAGATCCTTCATTTACATTTTGCTGAGTTCTAGAATTGACTAAGAGCTGGCTCCCTCATGGGCTGTTAGAAAAGGGAACTTGGTCAAAGTCTTAGAAAGACAAACAGTCATCAAAGGTTGCAGGGCTCAAAAATCTAGATGTATCAACAGGTCCTTCCTCATCTCTGAAAAGTGCTTTCCCTCATTGGAGACAGGCAATGAAGCCAGGCGAAGGGACTCCTGTCCACACCGCCATCAGGAGTGGCGGAACGGGAGTGGCTGAGGTGAGGTGGTGGGCGATGAAGCCATGCCTTCCTGCATGTGCCTGCTTCCAGAAGGATCTGGCCCACTTGTAAGCAGCATCTGAGGTTCTAGATCAAAGGACTTAGTTACAGCTGCTGCGCTGATCCTATTCAGGATGCAAAGGTGTGTCTACCTCATGCAAACGAGGCCCTGGGCTCCAGCAACAGAAGTACAGGGTGTTGAGTTTTTTCTAGTACGTGCTGAAGGAGATAGGAGGGAGGTCTGCCCTGTGGCCTTCTGGGCAAGATGGTGTTGGCTTCTTGAGACTGTATGGGTCACATGGGAATGCTTTCTGGCCTGGTTTTTGCCAACTATTCAGCCTACAGGACAGTGACCTTAAGCTTGCTCAGGTATGGCTTACCCCTGGGTGACAGCTCCATCTCCGTGGACTTGGTCCTGCTAGCAAGGACACATCGGAGTCCAAAGGCTGCAACTGGTCTCTGGGCCTGGGAGGTGGGGTTGTGTGGAACAGGGTAGAGTTCTTGGGTCTATGTTAGGAGCAAGGCTTCAGGCACTGGGGTTGCAGAGCAGACTGTGGCTGTAAGTGGTATCTAGGCTCAGGCCTGTGGAGTTTGGAACTGACTTCGTCCACATCTTTGGAGCAGAACCCACTTCTGGTCATTTGGCTACTTCCCATCCCATCCTTGTCTAGCTCAGGGCCCAAGGTGTGTGACCTTGAGATGATCCTTCCCCCATTTTCAGTCACCATTTTCTCCCAATGAGCAACAAGAATGGATGAGTAAGATCAGCAGTTTCTACACTTTCTTAAGGACCCACTTATCAAATATAATCTTATACAGATCACAATACATAAAGACAAAACCAACAGTGCCTAAAGGAACCTGGGGGTTGGCAAGCTACTCTTTGTCTACCTGACCCCCTTCCCATCTGCAAGGAGATGCCTAAGGCTCCGAAGAGTGTACCGTGTTGGCTTTTGTTTTTTATTGTTGTTTTTTTGAGCTAGGGTCTCACTCTGTAAGCCCTGGCTGGCCTGGAACTTGCTATGTAGCTCAGGCTGGCTGTAAACTCACAGAGATCCACCTAGCTCTTTCATCCAAGTGCTGGTACTGAAGGCATGTGCTACCACGCAAGACTCTGAAGAATGTAGTTGGAAGGCCTCCCAGCTGCATGTTGATGGAAGATCCCCCAACTTTAATGTCCTAGGCTTCTATAACCTCTGGAAGCCAGTGGAGCCCAGGCATCCCAGCTCAGAGACTATACAGTTAGCCTGCTACAGCAGCCCCAGAATCCTGCCTGGTTGGAGGAAGACTAATATCTTCTGAGGGTTTCCCTGGCTCCAGACTCCCTTGTCTGCTCTTGGGGTTTCCTCTGCTGGGTCTCCCCAGAAGCCTTGTGTTCTCTCTACTTATTCATTTCATTCCATTCTCTCCACCTGACCCTAAGCCTTTGCTTGGGCCCTGGTCATGAAGACATGAATGCCTTCCTTTCTGAGTCTCCAGCAAGAGTACCTTGGTACCCTCAGACAGGCAATGGACTCTGGACAGAAAATAAACCCCAAGTTAGAAGGGAAATGTATACTGCAGACATATTCTAGAACCCTCTGTCTTCTGACCTAAGGCAGCTGGACCAGAACACAGCCATGGAGCTGGGCTGCCATCATGTAGGGGCTGGGGCCTTCCTTGCTGATGTTTTAAATCTGCATGTCCTTTAGTGAGGATCCCCTCATGTGCATCTGCTGAGTAGAAAGGATGTCCTCTCCATAGCTCAGTCCTCTTTGAGCAGTGGGCAAGAGGCTCCTCATTGTTCTGGTCTGTGGTCCTGCCCAGCCATCAGGGCTTACTGAGGCCCTTTCTGACAGAAAGATTCTCCAGGGAACCTTTCGTTGGGATAAGCCACTTTATTAAAGGTGCTCCTCATGGTCCCTCATTTCTCATTCAGTCAGAAGTGGTTCAGGCTGAAGTTACTGATCATCTCTCCTTCCAGTCTCTCTCTTTGTCCATGGCACCCTGAGATTCAGTGTTCTCTGTGGCATCTTGGAGTGGGTAGGTGAACTTGAGATCCTGGCGTGGCCCAGGGTGTGCTGGCAGCTGACATAAGGCCAAGGAGTGGCCAGCCCCACAGCCCACGAGGAGGAGTCGCACCGGTGACTGGAAGGCCTGCACCGGAGCTGGAGTCCAGACGTTGGCCTCAGTGCCGTCCCCACACATGCCATGCTCATTCCAGCCCCAGGAGCAACACTTGTCACCTGTGGGAGAGAGGGCACAGACATCACCAGAGCACCCGCTCCACAGAGGAAGAAACCAAAGCCTGTGACCATCGACAGGGCATGCTCAAGGCCCACTTCAACAGCCCCCCACCTTAAGTCAGTCTGTCCCATTCTTCCACTCCACAGCTGTCCACCGTCACCCCCACATGTGACCAATTACCCTGCTAACTACCACCAAGAGCAACTCCAGTCTCTCCTTCCATGTCCTTTCACCTCTGCTGCCACTACTCTGGCTCAGGCTACCAGCTGCTTCTTTGGCCCGTGGCTGCCTCCTGTGTTACACACCTATAATCCCAGCTCTTGAGAAGCTGAGGCAGGAGGCGCTGAGTTCCAGACCAGCTTAGGCTACACAGAAAGACCTTGTTTCAACCTTCCTCCTTAAGAAAACTACTTGAAAATTTGAAATACCTTAGTATGCAGAAAAGCATGGAAAACAATGTACAACATCCTAACCTAAGCTCAGAACGTTAGCTACCAATTTCTCATATGTATTTCAATCCTTTCCTTAAAACAAACAAACAAACAAACAAACCAACCAAGAAACAAACAAAAACCCCCAAACCCATTTAAGCCCGACTGCCTGCTGGGCCCTCCACCCTCAATAGTAACCACTGTTCTGAAGCCAGTGTCCATACTTGGATGCACATGTATTTATATGTACGTGTCTGTCCTTAAACACTATATACTCATTTGTTTTAAAGACTTACGAAAGCACATCGCTGATACACACCTTTTATATGACCTATTCTTTACACTTGACACTGCTTCAGGAATTTATCTGAGTCAGTACTTCGTCAACCTAGCTCATTAATAGCTTCTCATTGTGTAAAGTCATTGTCCACTTAGCCATGTCCTTGGGACAGCTAGTGCTTAGTAGTCATTGTTGCCACTGGGCTATATACACCAATGTGTGATATATTATGATATTATGCAACATCACCAATATGGCTGCTATTATAAACAATACTGCTGTGAACACCTTTGAGCATGTCTCCTGGTAGAAAATGATGCTTGTGCAGAGTGATCCTCAGAAGCACATACAAGTCATGGGGCGGGGTTCACATTTAATTTTACTAAGTATGGGCCACAGAGTGGCCCATCAAAGTGGCTGTAGGTGCACTCCCATCCCTCATGGACACGGATGTGTCTCCGCATCGCTCCCTGGAGACGACTGCCACTCTGGTGAGTATATCCACTCAGCTTGGGCTCCTGCTAACGGGAGTGAGCTCTGCCTCATGAAGCTGAGCCAAGTCACATGTTTACGTTCCCCGCCTTCTTGTTCTTTTTGCCTCTTTCTGACTGACTGACTGTGCATTTCCCCTGGTTCTACACACTGCAAGTGTCTTCTTCCAGAAGTCTGGGGTGTGTCACCCCATTTTGTTTATGGAGTCTTTTGCTGAGCAACTTATTTATAGTGGCTTCCTAATCGCACATTATGAAGATTAAACAATTTACTTAACATGCCGGCCATTATCAGATGCTCAGGTTGGTTCTAATTTTCCATTTTCCTACAGCATTGCATGGACACCTCGGAGCGTGAATCTTGGTCACTCCCTCTAATTACCTTTTCAAATTAGATTTGCAGGATGGGGATTCCCAGCCAGTGGGTACTGCCATCTTGGAGACTTCCGAGAGCTGTCTGAGGACTGCCAGGACTCTGCGGAGAAGCCGCCTGGCTTTGGTGATCTGCGGGTGTCTCTGCCCCCTCCCACATCACTAGTGTTTATTAGCCTCATGGGCTTTAAAAATTCTTTTCAATTTGAATACAAAATGGTACCTCACTGTTACATATAACCCCATGGTTCTTGGATACTTTTCTCTCCTCTGTTGTGTGCTGTTCCCTACAATCCCCCTCCCCACCCCGGTTAATATAAAAACATTTACATGTTCAAATCCAAAAGGTAGATTACCTGTTTTTTTTTTTCCAGTTTGACTTAAAATTTTGCTTTAGATCTTTCAACAGACATATTTATGACTCTATTTACTGACTTGGGGGTTTACTGAGGAGCGGGGAGAGTCTCATGAAGTTTAGGCTGGCCTCTAACTTACAATATAGCCAAGGATAACCTTGACCCTCCATCCTCCTGTTTCACCTCGCAAGTGCTCATCACACCCAGCAGATTCAGTACTCTTCTAGAAAGTTCAATTTCTTCAGCAGCATGCACAAACTGAAAGCCCACCTTTATCAGAAAATACTCCTGATTTTCCCACAATCTGAACGTTTAAATCTTCACAATTATGTGATTATACACCAAACGTTTGTTTTACAGAGCACTGTTTCAAGAGAGGGAGGCCAGCTGGGCTTAAGGGGATTGCCCTCAGGGCTCCACTTTCTCGGGAGGGAGGCTGTACTGGTCAGGGGCTCAGGTCTGGGGAAATACACGTCTTCTGGTTAGCTGGCAAGATGAGGAAACACGTGCAGAGAGAGCGGCTCCCCCTCCCTGCTTGGTTGAAGTTCACAAGGCTGATCAGGAGGAGCAAGAAGGAGGATGGACTCAGAAGGAAGGAAGGGAGGAAGGGAGGAAGGGAGGAGCGGCAGGATGCAAGAGCCCAGAACCTTAGGGGCCAGTTTGGCGCCTTGCATGGGCAAAGTGCCTGGCCCTGGTGAGAAGCGCAGCTGACTGTCAGCAGGGGTGGGGTGGGGTGGGGAGCAGGGGTGGGGTGGGAGCAGGGGTGGGGTGGGGAGCAGGGGTGGGGTGGGGAGCAGGCGTGGGGGTGGAAGGAAGACAGAGATGACCTCGCCACAGGACACAGCACAATGGGCAGCTGGCATGCTCTTCTCCTGCCAAAGGGAACTCACTCTAAGGAAGCCACACTCAGGGCTGGGTAGATGAGGCCCGGAGCCAGGACTTTCAGGCCTGCTTGGTGCCGAAGCTGGCAAAAGCCCAGCTATCTCTTCCGAGACTCTGAAGAGAGGACGTGTTTCTGGTTGTGTGCTTTATCTGCTCAGGTTGTAAGAGCCCAGTGAGGTGGCCACATTTCATGGATGGTGATCATCTTCCAGGAGAGAAGGCTGAGCATCTAGAACGTGGAGCGGGCTCCCAGCACTGTGCTAAACTGCACACGTTATACACTAGGCTTCCCTGAACTTGCTCTTACAGAGGTACTTTAGGTTTGAGGGGCCCACTAGCGTGCTGTCCCACACCCTCGTTCTCTTTGTGGGTGTGCTGTATGGGTGTGTACACACGTATATGGGAATAGATGTGTGTGGAGGCCAGAGATCTACACTGAGTCTCCTTCGTTTTTGAGACAGAGAGTGAGTCTCTCTCTCTCTCTCTCTCTTTGGTTTTTTGAGACAGGGTTTCTCTGTGTAGCTTTGCGCCTTTCCTGGTACTCACTCTATAGCCCAGGCTGGCCTCGAACTTGCAGAGATCTGCCTGCCTCTGCCTCCCAAGTGCTGGGATTAAAGGCGTGCGACACCACCGCCAGGCGACAGAGAGTCTCTTACTGAACCTGGAGCTCATTGATTGGCTACAGGGGTTGGACAGGAAGCCCAGGGATCTTCTTGTCACTCCCAGTGTTGGGGCCACAGGTATGTGCTGCCATGCCTGGTTTTTCCCCTGGGGACTGGAGATCTGCACTGAGGTCCGCCTGTTTCTGCAACAGGTCCTACGTCCACTGAGCCATCTCTGCAGCCCCGCTCAGTCTCTTTTGCACAATCCTTTGAAGGTCATTTGAGAATGGCTTGTGGGGCTGGAGAAGTAGTTCCACAGTTAAGAGCACTTGCTCTTGCCGAGGACCTGGGTTCAGTTCCCAGCACCCACATGGTAGTTCACAACCATCTGGAACTCCAGTTCCAGGGAATCTGATCTGACATTGTCTTCTGACCTCTGTGAGCACCAGGCATGCACATGATACACATATCTACCTGTGTGCAAACACATATAAATAAAATAAATTAAACAGCTATGTAATCATATAAAAGTAGGCCACAGGTCAGGCCCAGTCAGTTTGCCAGCTGCTGCCTACCGAATCCTAGGACGCCATTTAATCTGGATCGTGACAGGCTTTTCTGGTTTCCCCAGCACACCTGGTGTAGTAATGGTGCCTGGGTCCTCGTGTGTCAGAGGACCATACTATATATCTGGGCCATACTATACATCTCCCAGCATATATCTCACTAGGTCTAAGTTTAATCAAATTCAAGACCCAGATGCAGATACAATAGAGGGTGATGTCTCCCTCTGCTGCCTCTGAGGACCAACCGTGACAAGTCACCTGCCCAAAGCGTGGAGTCCTCCACTAGGGTTCACATACTCCCTTACAGTAGCAGTATCTGTGAAGCTAAGGAAGCCTGGGAGAAGAACAGCTTTGGAGAGAAGATGAGGAGCTCTGTTTGGGGCAGTCTAAGATGGAGGTGCTAAGGGCATGGAGGCGCACACCTTTAACCCCAGCACTTGGGAGGCAGAAGCAGGTGGATTTCTGTGAGTATGAGGCCAGGGTATAAATAGTGAGTTCCAAGACAGCCAGGGCTACATAGAAAGACCCTGTCTCAAACACACACACACACACACACACACACACACACACACACGACAGAGGTCCTTGCCAGGCACATGTGAACGAACACTCTCTGCAGAAAGCCCTGTGGTGGGTTGGAGGGAGTATAGCCTGGGAACCAAGTGAGAAACGGTGGGAGGTATGACGAACGCAGATGGGTTCTCAGGTGCTAGCGCGGTTCACAGGGGCCCTGAACCACGCTAAATTACAGTTTCTGGCTTTGGTTTTTCATGAACAAAGTGTGTATCTTGTATTTACAATACTATACAGATGAATACATGTACATTTTCTTTGTGACTATCCTTACTGTCATAAAAACTTGTATGTTTGAAAGGAAATTTGCCACTGGGTGTAGCTGCAGGCTCTGGTCCAAGGGAAGCAGTGTTCTTTCTCCCGGTAAGTGGCCGGGCTGCTGACATGGATACAGCCCAGCAGTCCTCTCCTGGAATGCTGTCATGGGAAAAGTGGCATGCCCAGAA